TATGCATCCTATGAATTTTGATTCTCATCCTTGACATGATTAAGGTGCTGGCTTTCATTTAAAGGTCACACACTTGTGTAGCTTGTGTTACAAGTCACTTTAAAGTTAAGGCATTACACTTAGTTTTAAGTGTTGATTATGAATGGAACTTTGGTTCTTTCTCTTGCTTTGACTTGTGACTTGCTCGTGCCTTGGTTTCCATTTGTTTTTAGCATCTTCTTCTTGTGTTTATGCTTTTGATACTCATTCAAAGTAATTTGGTATCCTTTGTTCATACTTTGAGTTTGCTTTGAATGAAGGATCACTTTGAGCACTTGTTTGCTCCTTTCTTTTGCATGATCAATATGTTGTTTTTGGTTGAGATATCTTGCATGTTGCTTGCTGCCGAAGCTTGTTCTCCTATCTCCATTTTGATCATGGCTTCTCCTTTTGGTTTTGTTGTTTACCTATTGGTATAAGTGATTGATGTTTGAATGGTTGTAGGAGTTGTAACTTCTCCCATTTCATTTCACTTGTGCTTTGACTTGTTTAAGTCATTTTGCCTTGTTTTTTTTATTGGCTTTGCATCTTTTGCATCTTGCATATCATATTTGCATTTCTTCTTGACTTGTTTAAGTCAACTTCATCTCTGTCTTTCATCTCATTTGTGATTGATTTTATCTTGTGCTTACTTGGTTTCTTTGCCATGATCCCTTAGGATTCCTAGTCCCATTTGTTTAAGATGGGAATAGGAGAGACATTAAGTGTTCAATCCAGGCATGATAACATTAAGTAGTTTTTTCCCCTTTTAATCTCAATCTTAGGAGCACATTTCATGATAACATTAGGGTTGATTAGTTTCCCCTTAGAGTTTGTGTCTTCTCTTCTCATCTCAAAACTTCTTCAAGACACCTAATAAAGGATAACAAGTGTTGTACGCTACGAGCCTTAAGTATTTGGGAAATGATATTTGAGGGGCTTCCTCTCAAGTGTCTAGAGTGTTTAGCGTATGCTCTTTGGGCGATATGCGACACATTCGCTCTCAAGTCATAGTCTTTAGTGCAGCATGAGTTACAAATTTAACTCAATTCACTTCTTCTCTTAAAAAACACAAAACAAAACATCAAACCTTTTTATCCTTCAGGATTAATTGAAAACCATTTTCAGAAAGAGTGTGTTAACTCTTGGTTTTACCGCAAACAGGTAACGCCTAAGTCTCCAATGGTCGAGCAGCAATACGCCTAACTGCTGGAACGAAGGTTTAACCCTATTTAGTTAAAACACTTGAACCAACCTATGGCTGTGTCAGCCCGAACTACGTTTGCTCTGATTTCTCGTACCAGACGAGGATACGTAGGTACAAGACGATGATGTCTTGGCGAGCAACCTTCCCCACCTTCACCAGTAGTTTGCCGAACTACGTTGACTCTGACTTTCCCATTGCACGAGGGAGTATATAGGCATAGAGCGACGATGTTCTATCGAGTCTCTTTTCTTTTCTTTTGTCCCTGTGGCCAACCTTATAGATTAACACCCTTTTAGATAGACAACATGCGTGGATCCCGTTGAGTACAACGGACGTGAGGGGTGCTCATACCTTCCCCTTGCGTAACCGACTCCCGAACCCAAGATTTGGTTGCGATGACCTGTCTTTTCCTATTTTCGTAGGTTTTCTCTGATCGTTTCCTTTCCCTCCCTTTGGGATAAATAACGAACGGTGGCGACTCTTCTGTCTTTGTCGGCCCCTCTTCATAGTGATGCGACACAGAGCACGCTGTGGAGTTCCTCGACCCATCCTTTCTTGGTGTCGTCGAGTCTTTGCTTCAGCCCCCGGAGGATCACTCTGTTCGCGGTCTCGGCTTGGCCGTTCGTTTGTGGATGCTCAACCGAAGTGAAGTGGTGCTTGGTCTCGAGTTTGGTGACGAAGTCTCGGAAGTTTCTTTCCATAAATTGTGTCCCATTGTCGGTGACTATGGCGAGCGGGGCGCCGAACCTAGCGAGGATGTTCCTCTTGTAGAAACGGAGTATGTTGTGAGCCGTAATCTTGGCGAGGGCTTCGGCCTCGATCGACTTGGTGAATTAGTCGACTCCTACTATCAGATACTTGTTCTGATATGAGCCCAGGGTGAACGGGCCGAGGATATCCATCCCCACCAGGCGAAGGGCCACAGAGAGGAAAGGGATTTGAGCTTGCTCGGAGGGACGAGGTGCATGTCCCTGTGGCGCTGGCACCTGTCACACTTCCTGACGCGTTCCTTCGTGTCCTTCTGCATCGTCGACCTATAATATCTAGCCCGTAAGGCTTTCCTCGCCAAGTCGTGATGTAGTTTTCAATGAAGTCGGAATGACGTTCAAGAAAACTAGCGATGTTGGTCGAAGTGCAGAAATATCTGAAGAGGAGTTGGAACAAGTAGAGATTCCTCTTGAGGTAGAGCATAGTGATGCTGAAGCGCATAACCTAGATGAAGTCGAAGAAGAAGAGTAAGATGCTGGAGAGATTGAGGAAACTGTCGATGACTACCTACTGGAAAGAGATAGATTGAGAAGAGTCATTAAGCCACCTCAGAGACTTGATTATGTAGAACTTATAGCTTTTGCCTTAATCTCTGCAAGTGAGGTACTTGAGCAAGAACCTAGAGACTATAAGGAAGCTGTAAGGAGTCGAAACAGGACTAAATGGTGAAATTCCATGGATGACGAGATGAAATCTCTTCATGATAATAACACTTGGGAGCTGGTTGAGAAACCTGTAGGAGCAAGGTTAGTCAGTTGTAAGTGGATTTTCAAGGTCAAGGAAGGAATCGAATGAGTGATGTCGAAGAGCTTTAAGGCAAGATTGGTTTCTAGGGGGTTCAGTTAGAAAGAAGGTGCTGACTTCAATGATGTGTTCTCACTTGTTGCAAATCATAGATCCATTAGAATGTTGTTGGCCATGGTGGAGAAGTTCGACTTGGAACTTGAACAAATGGATGTGAAGAAAGTCTTCCTGTATGGTGATCTAGATAAAACGATCTTGATGCGGAAACATGAAGGTATGCAGAAAAGGATAAGGAATATTATGTGTGCAAGTTGAATAGGTTTTTGTATGGCCTGCAACAATCTCCTCGACAGTGGAATAGGAGATTCGATAAGTTCATGGTACACATTGGTTTCACTAGGAGGCAATTCGATCACTAAGTTTACTTCAGATTTTGACCTGGAAACTCACTTGCTATTTTGTTGCTCTATGTGGATGATATCCTCATAGCTAGAAACAGTGTCGAGGATGTAATAGAGGTGAAGGATGAACTTAGTAAGGAGTTCAAAATGAAGGATCTGGGAGCTACCACCAGGATTCTTGGAATTGACATTCGGAGAGATAGAAAGTAGTCGAAGTTATGCTTATCTTAAGAGACATACCTAGGAAAGGTTCTCGACAAGTTTGGTATGTCGAATTCAAAGTCTGTTGTGACTCCGACAAATCCTCAGTTTAAGCTTAGTACTACTCAAAGTCCGAGTACTGAAGCTGAAAGACTCTATATGAGTAGTATTCCGTATGCTAGTATAGTGGGTTCTTTGATGTATGTCATAGTCTGTATGAGGCCAAACATAGCGTATGGAGTGAGCCTTGTAAGCAGGTATATGGACAATCCTGGAAAGTTGCACTTGCAACCTTTAAAGTTGATTCTCAGGTACATAAATGAGTCTCTAAGTCGAGTCCTGATTTATGTTAGAGCCTGTGGTGATGATAACAAAGTCGAAATCGAAGGATTTGTTGACTCTGATTATGCAGGTTGTATGGATTCCAAAAAATCTATTTCTGGATATGTGTTCACTATGTTCGGCACAACAATCAGTTGAAAAACAACACTTCATAAGATTGTTGTTTTATCAACCGTTCAAGCAGAATATATTGCCCTCAGTGAAGATGAGAAAGAAGCATTGTGGCTTAAAGGTTTTACAAAGGAGCTGGAACTTTAAGGTCGAGTTATCACTATTAAATGTGATAGTCAAAGTGCAATACCCTTGTCGAAGCATTCAGCCTATCATGAGCGAACCAAGCACATCGATGTAAGGCTGCACTTCGTCAGAGAGATAATCGAGCATGGAGAAGTACAAGTGCTGAAGGTTTCGACGGATAATAATGATGCTGATATGATCACCAAATTATTGTTGAGCTGTAAGTTTTTCCACTGTACGCAGTTGATAAAGCTGCATGATGAAAGTTAGAATATTCCCTGTTATTGTAGAGTTTATTTCAAGGTGGAGATTTGCGAGATCATTGCATCGAACTCTACTTCTGTCGACTGGGATATTATCGATAGAGATAGCTTTCAGGTTTCGACAGGGGACAAACATGAAGTCGAAGATGGTTCACATGCTATTGTCTAAGTGTTACATATTGTAGTCAAAGTCAGTTCTTATATGTATTATCGAAAACTGTTATGTCGAATTGGGTCTTGTGATTAAGGATCCAATTGTTTAGTTAGCTTGTAATGTAAGTTAGCTGGTTAGTCTATAAATAGACTAGATCTATCAGGTTGTTGAGAGATGTCAATTGTGTTATTCATTTGCAAGCCCTAAATGAGAAAGTGAATAGAAAACAGTTGTCCAAAAATTCTTTCTCTTTCTTTCTTCTTTATTCTTTCTTCTCTCTCTTTGTTCTAACCATTTCATTGTTCACCCAAGAAACTATGCTTTTCAATCAAATATTTGTTATATGGTATCGTTTATCAGATCACATAAAATTTATTTTGATAAAAAATAAAAGAAAAAAATGCACCATTTTGCCCAACTACCCTTGCTTCATTTTTAACAACTATAACCATCAAAACCAAAACTACATTATATATGAGATGAATATATTAAACCTCTGGACGTTTCTGAAGAATGTATTGCAAATATATTAAAACACTGTTCAACAACATAAACAAAGTTCCAAAATAAAACATATCACAATCATGTAGCTATGAAAGTTAGACTATGATATATCTCTTCTACCATTCCTTCTTCCTAACTGTACACAAGATCTCAGTTAGATATCAAGAAGACTCGTTCACTTTAAATGCATCTGCAATACTGAAGTTCAAATTCCCTTTCATGGTTCTGCTCCTACCAACCATATCTCCATCACCTTTCTTCATCATCGCTACAAACTCCCCATAATCGATTCTCCCATCCTGAAAAAAGTATAGAAAATCAATATCATTATAGATTAAAGAGTACAACCATCACATAATCCTGACATGCTGGTGATCAGGGCAGTATCTGAAGGCGTGCAAGACAGCCTACAGCGGAGAGCCTCACACTTTTCATGATTAAGACGCTCTGCTGGTGATTGAGCTAAGACATTTCAAGAAACTTACATTATCTTGATCGATTTCTTGGATAATGTCGTCCAGATGTACTTCACCAAGGCCGAAGTCCTTACAAGCTGTTTGAAGCTCGTCAATGGTGATGTAACCGCTACCATCTTTATCAAAATAAGCAAAAGCTGCAACCAAATTCTCTTCTCTTTCCATCTTATTCAAGTGCAGTGTAGCCGCGAGAAATTCACCATAGTCTATTGTTCCACTGTTGTCTATGTCAGCCTGCAAAAGTTCACAAGAGAAACTTATTAGAAAATGTATATAAAACAACTTATCTATTAGTACATTTTATGATAATGACGACAGACGTACCGCATCCATAAGCGATTTAATCTCAGATTCCATGAGATTAGAGCCGACTCTTTTTAGACCATCTTTGAGTTCCTCATAAGTTATTGTCCCGCTGTTGTCTGTGTCGATCATTCTGAACAACTCTTTTAACCCGCCTATTTCTTCCTCCGAAAGTCTTTCTGCTATGACCTGAAAATAATTTTAGATATTAAGCGCGAGAGTTAGATGAAAACTAGAAGTCGATAGAGAATACAAATCATTGAAAATCATACACGTAATGCCATCTTCTTTAGTTTATTCATCGCCGAGAAATGCTTTAGGCGTGTCAAAACAGCAGAGTCCAAAGGCTGGTCAGGTGCAACTTTATCATCAACAATCCAAGGGTGACCTGATTATACATAAACTCCATTGTTATTCGATATTCTACAAGACTGCGATATTATAACGGCTTAGCACCTACAAATGCAATAACAATCAGTGCTGAAGGAACTCACATAAGACATTATGAGCAGAGATTCTGTTCTTAGGGTCTCTATTCAACATCAGTTTTACCAAATCTTTAGCACTGTCTGAGATTGATGGCCATGGATCCGACTCAAAGTCAAGATCTCCATGTAAAATCTGTCTGAAAATTCCTGATTCGGTTTCTGAATGTTATAGAAAAAGTGAGTGTAGCGCAGGCATAAAAGGACATAAGAAGCAGATCACGATAAGAAAAATGTAATATGTGCATAAAACGAAGAGAATTACTACAGAAACAACGATAGTTACCAGCCCAAAAAGGTGGAACGCCGCTCAGTAAGATGTATAGGATAACACCAGCACTCCAAACATCGATTTCAGGTCCATATATCTTACACAATACCTCAGGAGCAACATAGTAGGGACTTCCAACTACGTCATGAAAGGTTTGTCCTGAAAAGAGACGGAGAAAATGCGATGGTAAATTCATACAGAATAGATACTCATAAACAACTAACGAAAACATACACGCTTACACCAACGGAACAAAGTTGCGTCCAATGAAGAAGTAAAACATATAAAATCTGTAATGCTATATGCACATCAATACATCACAGATCGCAACACAATGCAATCAATTCAAAGAAATTGAAATCGTCAAAATAGTGAAATCAAGAATTACTCCTTTGAAAGAAATGCTGACACGAAACGTAATTTCTTCCGCTCATTTTAACATCAACAACTTACAGTTATTGAATTTCTTCAAAGCAATGTTAACCAAACATGGCCGCAATTTAAAACCACGATGCTAACATGTAAAAGAATTACAATAATTTCGAAGCAATGTTAACCAAGCATTAAAAAGCGGACGTAACCGCAATTTAAAACCTTAATGCAAACAAATAACAGAAGCTACAATAGTTTCATAATTCATTTCAACAACAACAACGAATCACAAAGATTGAACTAACCTGGTTTGTAGAACACAGAGAGACCAAAATCTGTTGCCTTCATTTTAGCATCTTCACCAGAACTATCAAACAAGAAATTCTCAGGCTTAAGATCCCTATGCATGACACCAAGAGAATGACAAGCCTCAACAACACCAACAATAGTCTTAATCAACTTTGCAGCCTCTCTCTCACTATAATGACCCTTTTGAATAATCCTATCAAAAAGCTCACCACCAGCACAAAGCTCCATCACCAAATGCACAAACACAGAATCCTCATAGGTTCCTTGTATCTGAACCACATTTGGGTGTTCAGACAAATGATGCATGATCTGAATCTCTCTCCACACATCATCATAATCCTCCTGACACAAAAGCTTCCTCTTTGGGATTGATTTGCAAGCATACAGTTTCCCTGAGGATTTGTGTGTGCAAAGATATGTTGTCCCAAATTGTCCTTGCCCAAGTTTCTTCCCAAGAAGGTAATGATCCCTTAACCTTGGGGTTTGATAGGGTAACACAGCAGTGCATTTTGATGATGATTTTGATGATCCTAAAGTACTTTTCTGCATCTCAATTCAAATGGGTTTGATCTAAAGATGTTAAAGATTTTTTTTTTTGTTCCTTCCACTTTTTCTTTCTCTCTCTCTCTCTCTCTCTCTCTCTCTCTCTCTCTCCTAAGCTATCCTCTTCAACAAGATTGTGTTTTTTTTGTTGTTGTTGATTTGTTATATGCTATAATTATGTAGAATTGTCACCAATGCAACAATTGTCAATAGAACAATGATTCTTGTTTGGATTGGAATTAGAGAATGAATTCATTGGTGGAGAAGCAACTTCTTTATATGTGAGGGTGATAATGTGATATAGCATTCTACAATATCTTACTCTATAAGTTTCTTTAATATAATAATATTTTTATATGAATAGTCAAATAGATGAATAAATATGTAGATTATATTTAACTTTAATGTATTTTAAAAAAAAAGTTTATTACTAAAAGATGTCATTTTCTATATTTGAAAATAAAATTTATGTATTATTTTATATAAAAAAAGGCCAAAAGGGGCATGCATATATTTGTTTAAGAAAATTTGAATTATTGAGTCAAAAAGAAGAAGAAGAAGAATGGAATTAATATAATATAATATATTTAGATTAATATTGAATTTAACTGACATAATAGTGTACATAATTTTTATATTAATCAAAACTGTTGATTTATTTAAAATATTTAATTTTTAATTTAATTATCTAAAAAATAATACTAACGAATGATGATTATGTATTCAATGTGTAAAATATTTTACAAGACAATGCATAACAATTTATCTCTTTGGTATTTATATTATATTTCTTTGTTTGCTTGGTAGAAATTCTTTTTTGGTTAATTTTTTATGCTCGTTTTAAAACAAAATAATTTAAAAAGTATTTCCACTCTTAATTACATATTTTTTTAATTAATTTTTCCAAATGTTGATAAACGGAAAAAAAAATCGTAATAATAATAATTAGAATGTGGATATTTTTTTATAAATAAAATGTGTTTGTAGTCCAATAGTTAAGATAGTTATTTTCAAAAAATATATTTAACTTTTTTTTAAATGAAGACAAATTATTGAATAAAAAAGAAAATAAAAAGGATAGGAACATAAAACTGAACATATTAAATTTTTAGCAAAAACGATAGTTGAACATGACAATATAAACACGAATAGGAAGTGAATTTTACCAATTATTATATTAAAAAAACTGCATTGACTAATTTATTTACACATGCATTTTTCTCTCTAAAAACGTGAGATACCTTAAATTTAAAAGAATCTATAGTGTGTAAAATATTCTTTTATTTAATTGAAAAATTTCAATGGATAATATTCACATTGGAAAATGTACGATTGACCATCATTGAGTCACTTTCAAGCCAAAGATTTTTTGATATCCTCATGTTAGCATATTCAATATTAAGCATGATTCCATGAAGTTCAACTTGAAAGGAGATGCAAACCCTAAGCTTAGTTGAGGTAGCTCCCAAAAATATTCCAAAATTATTCCTTAATATGCCACCACAAGTTGATATTTCATAATTTCCTCTTAAAACTCCATCTATGTTGCACTTAATCGAATCGTGACTAGGAAAATTTCAATTAACTTACATGATTTTAGGTGCACGAGGAGGTCGACATTTGTTAGATCATTTCGAAACCTTATGATTTCTACCGATATAGAAATCAAGAACATAACTCTAAAATAATTCCTATAAGTTGATATAGCATCAACTTGTATCCCTTAAACCCATATCCGAATACAATTATGAGAATGAAGGTGGAAGCATACCTGAATTTGCCATTGAAATCGTTGAAGGTTCTTGGGATATGTGATCTTCCGATTTGTAGAGTTCCTTAGGGTTCCTTGAATCTACTCTGATGGGGATGAAGAGAGAAAACCTCATAAGTCTTATTTTGTTCGTACTCTACAAATGTGGACCATAACCTATTTAAATAACCCTAGGATTATTTATTAGTTTTCAAATATTCTAATTTGACCCCTCATCAAATTAGATATTGACTTATGGTATCTACACAATAACCTGACCTTTCATGACATTTATACTTTTAGCCACAAATTTAATATTATATTAATTAGACCCCTCTAAGTCTTGACTAATTAAAATAATGACATTAACACCTTAAATGTTATATTTGTGACCCAAAATTCTAACAATCTCCCACTGGTCCATATGTAACTTTACACATACATGTGTTAGACTTTATGAGCTCAAAATTTGTCATTATATTCTTTAAGCATATCCAAAGTATCCCATCCATTAGTCATGCCAATATACAGAATCAAGGTGATTTTCATTATATCAATCATAACTAAACCCATCAATGATCACCGATAGTGACACAACTAAATAACATAGATCCATCATGAAATGTGTAGCATGAAAATCACATGAAGTTGGTCTTTATATGTTAATTTTTAACTGGTCCTACTTTACTGTAGTGAGATCATTCAATAAATTTATTGTGCAAAATATAAACTGCTGAATATCAAACTTTATTAATTGGAAAATATCCAAAATCATAGTATGCATACATAATACCAAACACGGAACATAAAATTGATAATCGACTAACTCCCACTAAACCAAAAACTCCTCTAAGGATAAAATACTCATGCGTGCATTGTGCTCATGAAAGACCTTGGGTTGAAGATATTTTGTAAGAGGATCTGCTATCATGGAGTTTATCCTTAAGTGTTCTATGAAAATCTGTCAACTTTGTACCATTTCCTTAACAACTAGGAACTTGATGTCAATATGTTTTGACTTAGTCAAGCTCCTATTATTGTTGGAATACAGGACGATTGATTTGTTGTTACAGTATAACTTAAGTTCAATTCCTTCCACAATTTGTAGCCCAGTGACAAGATTCCTCAGCTAAATCCCATGGTTGGATACCTCATAATATGCTATAAACTATGCTGCCATGGTGGATGAAGCCGTAAGAGTTTGCTTAGCACTGCGCTAAGAAACTGCACCACCAGCCAACATGTAAATATAGTCTGAAGTGGATCTTTTACTGTCTTGGCATCTAGAAAAATCTGAGTCAGAGTATCTAGTGATCTCTAACTGGTCTGACCTCCTATATGTGAGCATATAGTCTTTTGTTCTCTTTAAATATCTTATAATCTTTTTTGCTGCTTTCCAATGATCCATTCATGGATTGGTCAAATATCTTCCTAACATCCCAACTATGAATGCAATATCCGGACGCATGCAAACTTGGACATACATCAGACTCCCTACTGCTGACGCATAAGAAATCTTTTGCATTTTTTGAATTTCTAAGTTTTCTTTTGGGCACTGACTAAGACTGAATTTGTCTCCCTTAGAAATTGGAGTATCTCCTGATTTACATTCCTGCATGCCAAACCTTTTAAGTACCTTTTCAATATAGCTCCTTTGTGATAATCATAGAATACCACGAGATCATTCTCGATGTATCTGAATTTCTAAACAAAAGAGGCATCACCAAGATCTTTCATTTTAAAATTTCTTGATGTAAATTTCTTAGTTTTGTGCATCATTCATATATCATTTGTGGTAAGCAGTATGTCATCTACATACAAGACCAAGAAAGTGTACTTGCTCCCACTGAATTTGTGATACACACAATCTTCAACAACATTCACCTCAAAACCAAATGAGAGAATTACTTCATGAAACTAGTGATACCACTGACGAGACGCTTGCTTTAGTCCATAAATGAATTTTTTTAATTTGTAAACCATATTCTTTGAGTCTCCTGACACAAAGTTTTCTGGTTGCATCATATAGATTGTTTCATCAACGTTGCCATTGAGGAAAGCTGTCTTGACATCCATTTAATGGAGTTCCAACTCATAATGTGCAACAAGAGTCATGATTGTCCTAAAAGAGTCTTTCGATGAAACCGGAGAGAAAGTCTCTTTAAATTCAATACCTTCCTTTTGAGTATAGCTCTTATCCACAAGACGAGCCTTATACCTCTCCACATTACCGTTAGAATACAGTTTGGTCTTAAAAATCCATTTACAACAAATGGGTTTCACACCTTCTGGTAATGGGACAAGTTCCCAAACTTTATTGTCTTACATGGACTTATACTCCTTCTTCGTTGCTTCAATCCACTTTTCCGAGTTGGAATCCAACATGACTTGACGGAAGTTGATTGGATCATCTTCCAGCATACCATTATTTTCCTCATGTTCTTGGAGAAATACTATGTAATCATCAAGAATAGCATTTCTTCTTTCTCTAGTGGATCTCCGTAAAGGTATTGGTTCTTGTAACATTTGTTCTTGAGGATTTTGAGTTTAGTTTGAGGAAGTGCAACAATGTCTTGTGCATGTTCCATACTTGCTTGATCAAAAGCAACTATATGAATCGGTTATGGAATTTTTATCGATTCTTCCTCTAAAATAAAGTATCTAACCTTATTCTTCCCCCAAACTCAATATCCTCAAATAATGTGGTTGTTCCCGTATCAAAAATTGAATTTAATCTGGGACATTAAAATATGTATCCCCTAGATCTTTCAGAATAACCAATAAAGTAGTTGCTCACTGTTCGGGAGTCCAATTTCTTTTCATTTGGCCTATAAGGCCTTGCCTCAGCTGGACATCCCCATGCATGAAAATGTTTGAGACTAGGTTTTTGCCTGGTCCAAAGTTCATAAGGTGTTTTGGAATCTGCTTTTGTTGGTACTCTATTTAGAATATAAGCTGCAATCTTTTGTGTCTCTCCCCAAAGTGACTATGGCAAGGTAGAATGACAAATCATACTCCTTACCATATCTTTAAGAGTCTGATTTCGTCTTTCAGCAACACCGTTCATGCTAGGAGATCCTAGCATGGTGTACTGTGAGACAATTCCACATTTCTCTAGGTATTTGGCAAAAGGCCATTGACTTTGTTCACCTGAACCGTCATATCTACTGTAATATTCACCGCCACGATCATATTTGACTTTCTTAATTCTTTTGTCAAGTTGATTCTCAACTTCAGTCTTAAACGATTTGAACAC